ATAAAGGTTTTGTAAGAGAGCTTATAAAAGCTCAACTCATATCATTGTACAAATCACCTTTGAATTGAATCAAAAAATTACTTTTACCTAAGAATTCATCTTTTATATCTTTTATGTTTAGTTATGTAGAGTGTTTCTCCAAATTAAAAAAGCCCTGATTTTTATTAATTGACTTTCTGCAGTCTTTGTGGTAATTCAAGATCCATCAATTAATCTTTTGTTCGAATTCGGATTTATTGGTTAGCGTAATGCGTCCATTGATTTTACCATCGAAAGTTCGAAACTAAACTACTTCTGAGACTAGTTGATCACGAGCCTTATCCTTATGGTAGCTTCATACTTGTTAAATCCACTACATCATAGTTATTATTTTTATCATAATGTTAAATAATAAATTGTTTGCTAAAAGAAAAGTTTTTTTTTTTCAATATTTAAGTTTTCCCTTTTTGCAAACAATAATGCGTATCGATAACTAAACTTTTTTTTTATATTTTTTTTACTAACGTAAAAAAATTTCTTAGGGTTTTATGTAAATAACTTTTTTTTCTTTTTTAACAACTACAACATTCTATTACATAGCTTGCAGCAAATGACTATCCTCTAAGGACAACCAGGCTGGGGCCGCTTAGCTAACATGGGTAAACCTAACTCCTCGTGCTCCCGCGGCTTTAACGAGTTTATCAGGACGAACATTAAAAACACAAGATATGTGGAGTAGCTTGAAGGATGAGAAACAGGCAGCTAATGAGTTAAAGTCGACGAGCTTTGCAGAGAATGTTGGCCATTCCGAGGGGTTAGCCGTCATAGCTAAGAGGTCGGTGCAGTCTGTATAGAAGATTCCACACTCCAGGTGAGACGATAAGATGCACTTCATTTCCCACAACAAAGAATCCAACTCTGCATGAAGCAGAGATATACTGCGATCAGCACCTTTAAGTCCCACTAATACTGTAGAAATACCCGAAAATACTAGCCAACCATGTCCACTGAAAACCGCATTTGCATCCCATGATCCATCCACGTAGCAGCACAAAACATTCTCAGAAATGGGGGTGGTACTCATGGACATAGAGACGATTTCCTGATCTTCCGTTTCCTTAGAGTTCGCCACTCTCCAAGCCTCTTCCTCAGCTTTGGCATGGTCAAGAATGTCAGGGGGGAGTTCATCAAGATTTTCGAAAACTTTTTTGTTCCTGGCTTTCCATAAAAACCAGATAATCCAAGGGAAATAACAAAGGTATACTTTGTCTAAATCTGAATAGCAGGCTCTCCAAAATAGGGTAATCCATGTTACCGAATATGAAGGATTGAGGAAAGCTCCCGGGAACAGAGGGGATCGACGAGAGAGCCCAGACTTGTCTGGCTTGAGGGCATTCAAACAACATATGGTTAATAGTCTCCTCATCAGCACCGCATCTCTGGCAGCTTTTATCTCGTCTGATATGCCTCGAGTAAAAACGTTGGTAGGTTGCCACATTCTCGTTGATGCATTGCCACAGAAATTGTTTAATCTTTTGGGTGGTTTTTAGTTTCCAAACTTGCACCTTGAGTACAGAAGTACTTGGTCCCTGAACAGGGAGGTCGCCAGTAAGACGAGATAAGGTTCTCGCGATCCAGTAACCAGACTTGACAGTATAGTTGCTAGATTTAGTGAAGCTCCAACTGTAACTATCTCTCGAGAAAGCGTGACTCGGACGTATCCCCAAAACAAGGGCAATCTCCTCCGGAGGGAAATGCTCTCAAAGACAATCGAGTTTCCACTGCTTTGTCTTGAACTCTATCAGAGAGTTGACATATAGCAGGGGGTCCCGATAAGTATCGAATCCTCTAGGCGTTCTAGCCGGGGTATCGTGAATCCATGGTTTGGACCAAACGCACGTATCAAAGCAAGATCTGATGGTCTTGCGAATACCAGAAGCGAGAAGATGTCTAGCTGCCAATATACTGTGCCATCCATATGATGGTTGGTTGGAGACACTAACTTCGAGGGGGCTACAATAATTGAAGTATCTGCCTTTCAAAAGACGACAAAGGAGAGAATCTGGATATCGCAATAGTCTCCATAGTTGTTTAGCTAATAAGGCTATGTTGAATTCCTCGAGTGTTCTAAAGCCAAGACCTCCTTCATTCAGTTGGTGGAATACAGCCTCCCACATCGACCAATGGATGCCTTTGCTGTCACACTTTGAACTCCACCAGAAATTTGCGATTGCACTTTTGAGCTTGGAGCATATAACTTTCAGGAGAAGAAAGCACGACATTACATATGTCGGAATCGCTTGTGCTTGGGATTTGATGAGAATCTCTTTGCCTCCTTTCGAAAGAAGTTTGGAGGACCAAGAGTTAACTCAGTTATTTAGTCTGTCACGGACAAACGCGAACACTTGAGCTTTGGAGCATTGAATTCTTTCCGGTAGACCCAAATAAGTCCCCATCCCTCCTTCCTGATGAATGTCAATGGTATCTTTAATCCCTTGTCTGACAGATGTAGCCACTTCATTTCCGAACATAATGGATGATTTAGCAAAATTAATCTGCTGTCCTGAGGCCTCGCCATACAAGCGGATTATGTCAATAATCTCTTTGCTCTGAACAAGATCAGCTTTATAGAAGAATAAGCTATCATCTGCAAAGAGAAGGTGGGATATGGGCGGGCTGGCTCTTGCGACGTGTAACCCCTGAACCTTATTGCTGGCTTTTGCACTACGGAGTTGGGAGATCAGGGCTTCTGTGCATAAAATGAAGAGGTACGGCGATATGGGATCGCCTTGTCTGATTCCCCGAGAAGGTATAATGCATCCACGAGGTTCACCATTGATAAGCACCTTATACTTAACTGATGTAACACAGTACATAACCCAATCAGTAAAACGGGAATCAAAACCCATCTTTTCCATCAAGGCTTTGAGGAAAGCCCACTCCATCCTATCGTACGCCTTGCTCATGTCTTTCTTTATTTCCATGTACTTATTCCGACAAGCTGGATTAGATCATAGCGCATGGAAGTTCTCTTGGGCAATAAGAATATTGTCTGTGATTAGTCTTCCAGCCACAAAGGTCGACTGAGTCTCGGAGATTAACTCCGGAAGAACTTTCTTTAAACGCAAGCTTAAGACTTTTGAGATTATCTTGTAACCCACATTACATAAGCTAATAGGTCTAAATCCTGACATCTCTCGGGGCTTATCACCTTTCTGGATGAGACAGATATTGGTTTCATTTAACCGATCATCGAATGAACCGGATTGTTGGAACTTTCTAATCATGATTAGGAGATCAGCCTTGATTGTCGACCAAAACTTCTGGGAGAAGAGGTCAGTAAGACCATCAGGTCCCGGGGCCTTCCCAGGGTTTAGAGAAAACAAAACACTCCGAACTTCCTCCTCGGAGACCTCCTTTGTTAAGCTCGCGTTCATTGCCTCAGTAACCTTTACCAGAATATCTTGGACAACAGAGGTGGGATCAGCCGCATTAGAGGATGCAAATAAAGAATCAAAGTATTGAACTGCAATGGTTTCAACACCTTTCTCATTATCCACCCATTCCCCCAACGGGCTAAGGAGGCCCATTATCCTGTTACGTGTCCTCCTTTGTTTTGTCGTAGCATGGAAAAACTTTGTGTTTTTATCCCCTTCTTTAAGCCATGTTGTTCTACTCTTTTGTTGCCAATATTGTTCTTCCTCACGGTATGCTTCACAAAGACGGCATTTTAATGCAAAAAGCTCTTCCGTGGAAATTCCCTCGTCTTCCATTGCTTTGTCTATCTCATCTTGGAGCTGCTTAATAAGCTTCTGCGAGTTTGTAGTAATTCCTTTTTTCCAGACTGAGATAGCTCGGCGACAGCATTTGATCCAACAAACAAAATTTTTGTGGGAACGAAGCAAGGGTTTGCCCCACCCTTTTTTAACTGAGTCCTCAAGGCCCGGTTTGCCTATCCACCTCTTATCGAACATAAAACTCTTAAAATGTTGGATTGGGGCATTGCAAACAGATGCTACTATTGGTCTGTGATCTGACCCCCACATTTTAAGACATTCCACACTAGTATGGGAAAAATATTGTGCCAATCCTCGTTACCTAAGGCCCTATCCAACCGGCATTTAATTACGCCATTTTTTCTATGTCCAATCCATGACATAGGGTTCCCTTGGTATGGAAATTTGATCATTCCGCAATTCTGAATCACCGTTCTAAACGGAAGAAAGGTTGCCTCAGATCGCTTCTTGCCTCCACACTTTTCGTGGTTGCCGGTGATCTCGTTAAGGTCTCCGATAATGAGCCATGGTTCATTATGGGAAATACTAATACGGGTAAGTCGCTCCCAAATATTTTCACGGTTTTTAACAACAGGATCGCCATAAACAAACGATATGCAAACTCTATTGCCATCAATAATAGTTTCAATGTCAATTAGACGATCATCCAAATAAAAAAATTTAACCGGAAAATCTTTAGAAAAGAGAAAGCAAGGCCTCCACTGTTCCCTAATGGGTCGACAGTGTGAAGACGATCAAATCCTAAAGAAACTTGCAGATTCTGCAGAAACATACGATTGTTTTTGGTCTCAGATAAAAAAAAAGAAAACCTGGAGAATACTTAAGACTAAGCTCTTCCAGTCGATGGGAGGTTAACTCAGCTCCCACCCCTTGACAATTCCACGATAAAATCCTCATTTGGGTGGCTTGGGAGGAGCTCGGTCCTCCGAACCACTATTTTTTTGCTGTTCTTCACGGTCTTGCTTTTTGGCGGTGCTGCGGGTGGTGCTGCGAGTGGTGCAGTAGGATCAGCTACAGTGCGAGAGGCTGATCTTGGAACTATCCTGGGAGTTGAGTTTGCTCGAGCGCCGGAACAAGGAATTGCAAAAGTAGCTGCTGAGACAGAACGCTTCTTCGAAGAGGTCTTGTTCTGAAAAGGTTTGAGCTTTTTAGAAGCTGCTGCAATCACATTGGGGCTTCTCGGGGTAGTTTTCTTCTTTCGATCCAAGGACTGATCGGGAGATCTCACCCGTTTGCTAGTCGGGGACTGAGAGATCGCAGGAGCCACACTTGAGCTTTTCGGGATCGCAACCTCAGAAAGCGTGCGCTCCAAGCTTTCCTCAATCTCCCCTTTGCAGCAAAGTCTTCACCGAGTAGATCGTCCTCCTCCATGAGACTTTCGAGCATCATCGCTTTCTCGCATTCCTCTAAAAGCCTGAGATCGTCTTCGGTAAGCTTGGTATCCTCCTCCATGCCTTCAGCTCGATCTTCCCAGTCGGTGGGAACAGAGTCATTTCCGAGAAAACTACCACCATCATCAGTTTCCGGAACAGGGGTTAAAGGCCCCTTAAACGGTTCCTCCACATCGGGGATTATCTCGTCAAATGGCGGAGAATGTACCACACCAGAGCCTGAGCCCACTTCGAGAAGCTTGGGGGGGGGGGAGATTCAAAATCACCAGCATCACTGTTGGCATCCTCGTCTTCCTCCTCTGCGATCGCTTTTCCTTTTCCTTTGTCATTTGGAACCGAATTTCTCACTGGTGGGGGTGGAGAAGAAGATGGTTCGTTACTCGAGCGGTGGCGAGGAGGATGTGAGCTACCCCATTGCTTGAAACTCGGATCAGTACGAGGTGGGGAGCGCTGGAGCTGAGCAGAGGTGGATTTCCTGCGGTATTGGGCTTGATCGCGAGAGTGACCACTCCTCTGCGAGCCGCGGAGGTGCTCCCGACTTGACATAACAACATCATTTGGGCGTTGCTTTCTGGAGTCTGATGATGACTGGATGGATTGCTCCCGGATACGGGGAGGATTTGAGGCCGGATCTCCGCCAATACGCTTCCAGACAGAGTCTTTTCTGCCTTAACGATGATCACGGTCGTCGTCACTGTAAAGGCTTCGTTACACTGACTTTGAGTGGAGAGCACGAGAGGGAGAAGTAACATCCTTGCTTGGAGCAGAGGCACGACCTTCAAGGTGGCGGCTGGAGTTCCCGAGGTGAGATGAGCCTCTTCCAGATCTGTTCTGGTCTTCATCTCTGCAAGAGGGAGGGCGGCAACGGTCAGCTTCAGACACATTCCGGTTAGAACGAGCGGGATCTAGAGGATGTAGCGAGAGTCTCTCCTCTCTAAGTCTTCGACGGTCAGCTTCAGTGAGGAGAGGGCATGACATCACCTCTTGGGAGATCATTCTACAGTGCAAGCAAAAGCGGTACAGACGCTCATATTCCAGAGAGACGGTGACTTCATCACCGGAGTCAAAGCGAACTTTCTTCTTGAAGCGCAGAGGTCGAGCGACATTAACCACTACAGAGACTCGACCTTCTTCGGCATCCACCACCGTAACAGTTCCTAGAGCTTCGCCGATTCTCCTAAAGGCGTCTTCCACCCAAAAGTGGAGAGGAATGCTGTGTACGGTTATCCAAAAAGTTACAGAGCTCGGGAAGTCATCCCGGATATTTGGCTCCCATCGTTCAAGAGCAAAAGTCCACTTTTTGAAGTGGCAATGCCGTTTTTTTAGCACCTTCTAGAGATCCTCTTCAGAGTCAAAGTCAAAATGGAAGCGACCGTTGCCCAAATCTACACCGCGAACACGACCAGCGATACCGGATCTTGGCATGAAAGCAAGCAGAGCTTCAGTGCTTCGACCACCGGTATGGAAAGATCTTCCAATGAGAGTGAGGCGAAATCTTGCTATTAAAGCAGAGTTGTCAAAAGCAGGGATCACCACCGGTTCTTCCTCGTCGTCGGAGGGAGAGCGACGGTCGGCTTCGCCCTTAGATAGGCGCTTCATTCTTCTCAGAGGTGAGAGACAAAGGACAGAGGCTGAAAAAACAGAGAACAAGAGCACATAAGAGAAATCAGAGAAAAAAAAGAGAACAAACGGCGAAGACAAAATGTTGGAGAACAGGGAGCAAGCAGGAGAGAGAGTAAGAGAAAGAGGCGGTAAGGAGATTTTGTGAGAAGAGAAGAAGATAATCAATGCCAGTATGGTCATAGATCAGTGGAAAAATGTTGAAAGAATGGGAGCAGGGGACAAAGAGGGGCCAGATCTGTCGGAAAAACAAAGGGGAAGCTCATCCTTTGAGACCGTACAAATCGGCGCTGGAGAGAAAATCTGTATAAATAGGGCGAACTCCCCTCTAATTAGGGCTTTCTGTAAATAAAAAGTGAATTCTTTTTGCAATTTTACTTTCAACTTACCAAAAATACAGGTTAAACTAACAAAGTTTGATTCAACCCGCAATATAACCCTTGGCCATATATAGATTTTGATATCTGTATAAAAACTGTGTATACGTCATAAAACTACATCATTTTAACCATTTTTTAAGAAAATGACTGAGTTGTGATTTTGAACTCATGACTTTGGGGAAAATTAACCTCCACTCTATAGAATTTCAAACATATTTATTTCAAACTCCTTCTCTCTCCTTCGTAACTGCTTTTCATCGTAGGAAATGGAATTTTTTTTCTGTTTTTGATAGTGATGGTTTATTTGTATAAAATCTGGGTTATGAAGAAACACCTTTAAGGATCTGTATGTATAAGTTTTTTTTGTTTGTACGTTGAGATTGAATTAGATTGGAAAGATTGAGTCTTTTTATTTGTAATTCTTTGATTCATGGATTATAATTTGAGTTTTGATCTCATAAACTATGTGATTCTTAACAATGGTCAGCTTTTCGTGCATCAATGTCTTCTTCATTGCTATACCTGCCATTAAAATTTTAAAACGATGTATAGACTTTTTTGAATAGGTTTATAAATATATTATTTACATACCACGTAAAAAACGACGTTAGATTAATTGGTAATGTTTATGTGATTTTTCCCTGGGGTCAAGAGTTCGAGTGTCCATATAATTTTTTTATTTAAGAAAATGGTTAAAACGATGTAGTTTTAAAGATTTATACACAGTTTTATACGGATTTCAAAATCTATATACATCCGAGGATTATCTTGTGGGTAGAATCACATTTCGTTGGTTTGACCTGCATTTTCGGCGATCGAAAGTAGAGTTGCAAAAAAATCCACTCCAAGGGTTTAGTTGCAGAAAACCCAATTTCTTACGACAACAATATGGTTAAGATGTGCAGTAGCCACCCACCCACAGTTACATATACTCTATACATAATATTACGGGGTGTAGTGAGCTAAAATGATATGATTTAATGTAAGTCTATCGAAATTATTATAAGAATCTATACATGATACATGATGAAACGTGACAATGTGTAAATAAATAATTAAAAATATAGAGACAAAAATGGAAAAGACAAAAAGAAGTGGTGGACCGCCAACTGGATCATGGCTGTATTCGACCTTCCACTGTCATAGAAAATAGAATAATCCTCTTTGTTCTTTGCTTCTTCCATTAAACTCTCCCTTTTTTTCTTGGTTTAATGTTAACTCTTCCTAAACCCACTTTTTTCGTTAATAGCTTTTTTGATAATTGGATTAGGGATTTAAGGTTGGCATTTAGATATCCTAAAATTTTAATACAATCGATCACGTCTATTTCTGTTTCGTTAAATCTAACTGACATTTTTTTTAGGGGGGGAGGGGGATAAAAAACTACTATTTAAATATATGTTAGATATGATATTAGAGCATTTTCATCAGTGTAATTCATGTTGGATCTCTTAAGAATTATTTAATAATTTTTTTTTAAGAGTTAGAGATAATTAAGAGATTCTTGGGTTTTCTTCTTCATCAGTGAGAAACGAAGAAGCAGTAACAAAGCTCGAAATCGATCCTCAAAATCGATCTTCCAACTTGCTCGCAATTCACGCTATGGTGAATGCATGAAGAATCAGGCCTCGGGCATCAGAAACACCACCTACGACAGTTGCAGCCAGTTCGTTAGCGCCCCCACGAGAGAAGATTCTATGAATTGCTCTGCATGCACTTCATCAGGCGGCGATGATTTAGTGGAGAAAAGGGAAGGAAGAGGTTGAAGACGAAATTCATGGCGGAGCAGACAGAGAAGTGAGAGAGAGGGGTTGAAGACAAAGCTACGAAGAAGATGAGTTTCAAAAAAAATTGAAATAAAATAATTCAATAAAATTGAAAAAATAAATAAACAGCCAATAATATATTGCCATGCGTTTTGTGAGACTGTCTCTTATGCTCCTTATATAAGGAGCGCTCCTTATCAAAATTGACCTAAAACTAATTTTTTAATATTTTTTGTCTATGAAACCGAGCCACCAAATGGGTTTAAAAACCCTGATGGAGATGCTCTTACTCCAATTCTCATGGTTTATGGATCCCCATAATTTTTATCAAAAAGATTTCCTATATTAGTTTGAGGGAATGATAGTGAAATTAAACAAATATTAAAGATCTATACCTATTAGCTCATTGCTCAAGCAATTGGATAGCTGATATATGATCATTTTGCTAATCGGAGGAATTTTAAGCCAAAACCTTAACTAATTTTCGAGAGCTTTTTTGTTTTAGTTAATTATATAGATAACCAATTTATGGTAATTAATTTCTGAGAGTTATAAACAAGTTTATAGATAGTCAGATATAATTTAAATCATGGTGGAAGAACTCAAACTTTGGTCTCCAACTAACTACTATGAATTGGTTATTTATAAGACTATAACCATTGTATACTCCATCCAGAGCTGTGCCTATAATATTAGATATTAGGCACTTACCTAAAGCCACACCAAAATTAAAGAAATCAAAGAGTTATATTTTTTTTAGCTAAACTTTTTTATATATACAATTTGATAAATATGGTTAGGATATTCCTTTGAAACCCTTATAACAATAGTACTATTATTGATATCTTTTATTTTTATAGATATGGATCCACATATGTTAACAAATATTAACAAATGTTATAATAATGTATGATATGACAAGAAAATAAAAATATGCTATTATTGTGTGTTTAATGATAATATTATATTTTAATATTTATATTTATAAAAGACCATATTTTTTTGATTCGCCATTCAATAGTTCATAATTTTATAAATTATAACAGTAAAAATTTTGGTTTTAGAATTTTGGTTTTGTTTGTCGGTGCTCCAGTTTCCTTTTTTCTTTGACAAACTGATAAGTTTATGGTTTGAGACTTTTTGTTTGTCGGTTGAACAAAACAATTGGGATGATTAACTAATAATTCATAATTATATAACCTCGTAAGTCATATGTGTAACAGTGCCATATATGGAATTCAATTCGTTTCATTTACATTAGCCAATCCTTACATGGTATGTATAAAGATCATATGAATGTTACATAACAACTACACTCTTTTTCTAATTTGGCGTACATGAATTAATTTACTTAAAATGATCTAACACTATCTAAAGTTTAACAAACAGATCCGGACTCCATTAGCAATATTTTACTAATAGAAGTAAAACTAGAGGTTCTCATTTCAATTTCACTATAATAAATCAATAATTATTCCAAATAATAAATAATCAGAATAAACAAAATCCAGAATACTCTTCGTGATTTGCCATCTCAACAATGACCGACAATATATATAATTTTTTATTAATGCGTTCATCAAAAACAAAAATATAATGCGTTCATAATATGTAATTTTTAATTTAATAGAATAACATTGTTCTTGTTTAGCATAAACAAGCAGCAGTTGAGAAAAGTAATATAGAAATAAACGTTGTGAGTTGCAAGAAAAAATAAAAGAAATAAACATTGTGTGTTTCTTCTTTACAGGTAACAAAGAAGAGAAGACTGAACCAAATTTTATATCCTTTTTTTCAAAAGGATAAAATTTTATATCCTTGTAACCACTGTCGTAATTGAAATAGTATAAAACTTAACCTTTAATCAAAAAAAAAACAAAGAAGAGAAGACTAATTTTACTAATCTACTAAGTTTTACATCAATATATAAAAGCAACAGTTTATAGCAAACAAATGAATATAAGATAAATTGGAAAAAAACAATCTGTTTTCAGCCGAAAAAAATATTGTTGTCTTTCGGAAATTGTATGCTTCCTTAAATGTGTTCCTGCGAATTAACTTCGTTGAAAGGCTAATTTAAAGTCCATAATTGTGAACGCGTTTGGGTAAATAAATTTAACAAAGCATAGCCTTAAAATCCACACCATTGAGTCATCGTCACAATTACACAAAGCTTCTTCACTTTCCCTTTCTTCCTTCTCCCTCCATTTTTCAGTCCTCAGAGAAGCTTCCTAACCGGAGATGCACGCCAAAACCGACTCCGAGGTGACGAGCCTCGCGGCGTCGTCACCAGCCAGATCTCCTCGTCGACCAGTCTACTACGTCCAATCGCCGTCGCGCGACTCTCACGACGGAGAAAAAACGGCGACATCGTTTCACTCAACTCCGGTACTGAGTCCGATGGGATCTCCGCCGCATTCTCAATCCTCCATGGGCCGTCACTCGCGAGAATCCTCCTCCAGCAGATTCTCCGGGTCCCTGAAGCCTGGGTCTCGGAAAGTCAACCCTAACGACGGTTCGAAGCGGAAAGGACACGGAGGAGAGAAGCAGTGGAAAGAGTGTGCGGTTATTGAAGAAGAAGGTTTGTTAGATGACGGCGAGAGAGACGGTGGTGTTCCTCGCCGATGCTATGTATTGGCCTTCATCGTTGGATTCTTCGTTCTCTTTGGTTTCTTCTCTCTTATTCTCTACGGTGCTGCGAAACCTCAGAAACCGAAAATCACAGTGAAGGCTAGTTTTCAACTTCTTCACGAAACCTTAGATTCAATTCAAATCCGCTTAAACGTGTTCTCAAATGTTCAGATCGAAAAATCGAAATTAGAAACTTCCAAATCTGAGTATCCCAAACTCGTAAAATCCACAAATCTGATTCAGATTCATTTAAATTCGCTTTCTCTTAAGCTCAAATTCGCTTTATCGTGCTCTCAAATGTTCAGATCGTGAGTCGAAATTAGAAACTTCTAAATCTGAGTATCCCAAACTCGTAAATCCACAAATCTGATTCAGATCTGAACTAATTTGAGTCCAGAATCGTCTCGTTCGCGTCCTATTTTGATGTGTATGATGAATTGATTTGTCGGTGATTGAAAATTTGTAGAGTATAACATTCGAGACACTCAAGGTCCAAGCTGGTCAAGATGCTGGTGGAGTAGGAACCGATATGATCACCATGAACGCGACTCTGAGAATGTTGTATCGAAACACCGGAACTTTCTTTGGCGTCCATGTAACTTCAACTCCGATCGATCTCAGTTTTTCTCAGATCAAAATCGGCTCCGGATCCGTAAGTCCAAATCAGAAACCCCTAAATTTTTACAAGTATCCTATAAAATTGGAACGATACAAAGATGATTAGCATAGTTTAAACTTGTTTTCAGTGTCTTTTGAATCAGAAATCACTAAATTGTTTTTGTTGGAATGTGTTTTCAGTATCCGATAAAGTTGGAACGATACAGAGAAAATTAGTATACGTCTCTTACACATATAAATTTAGAAATGGACTAAACTTTTATTGTCATGAGACCAAATTTGGGTACTGATGTTGTTATTGTGGGTTTTGATTTATGATAATGCAGATTAAGAAATTTTATCAGTCAAGGAAGAGCCAAAGAACGGTATTGGTACATGTGATCGGAGAAAAGATTCCATTATACGGAAGTGGATCGTCTTTGATTCCGCCGCCGCCACCAGCTCCACTTCCGAAACCAAAGAAGAAGAAACGAGGAGCTCCGGTCGTGATTCCTCTGCCGCCGGCACCTCCTGCGCCGGTGCCATTGAGGCTAAGCTTCGTCGTCCGGTCACGAGCTTACGTGTTGGGGAAGTTAGTGCAGCCAAAGTTCCTTAAGAAAATCGAGTGTGACATCAACTTCGAACACAAGAATCTCAATAAGCATATAGCTATCACCCAGAATTGCACCGTCACTACTGTCTGAAGAACGGCGGAAAAAAAACACGTTTAGTGAAGCGAAAACGGTGTCGTGTAGAGTAACGTGATTTTACAGCTAAACGGGCAGCATTTTGGGTTGTCGGGGCAGCGCGTGGTGGGTGCCCGAAAGAGAGAACCATCGTCGGTGGCTTTAATTTACTTGAGTGGTTATATTGTTTATTGGAGAAAATATATAATGTTACAATTATGTGTATCGTCTCTACCACTGAACACGAATCACATTTTATTTATTTGTTTTTTTCTTTTTTTTTGGAATATGTTAATTTATTTTGTTTTGAACACTGAAAATGATGATAATACCGAGTTTCTCTAGATGTCAAGCAAACTTTACACGATCTACACAACATAAAAACGTAATGTCATGTTTAGAACATCTCTAACCTACTTCTATTATTCACTTCTATTTTAGAGGTGAAAATAGCGTTATACTCTAATCCACTTATATTTTCATCTTTAAAATAAAGATTGTTATTTTTTTCTCTAAATATAAAAGAACTTTATTTTTCCCCTTTATAATAGAGGTGAACTTTTTCATTTATAAAGTAATTCTTTAACTTTTAAATCTTACTATTTATAAAATAAGTATATTTAATTGAATATAAATGTGATAAAAATTATAATTTATAAAAAAAATTATAATAAGTAAAATAAAAGATTCATTCACAAATTTTATTTATCAAAATTAGTATTATTATAATTTATGTAAACTTTTGTAAAAAACAAAAATAAGTGAGATCAATTCATAAACTTTTTAATGTAAGGTGTTAAGAATAAATAACAGAAAAAACATATTGACAATATTCCTTTTTAGAGGAAAAAATAGGAGTAAGTATTGGAGACAAATGCCCCTCTATTTTAGAATTTCTCTATTTTAGAAATAAAAATAGAAATATGCATTGGAGATGGTCTTAAGCATATGAAAAAAAATGGATATTATGATTAGATTAAAATAAATTATTTGGAATTACTAAACATAATTGAGAATTTGTTGGATTGGTCTAATTTCAAAGTGAAAGTAGACTATTTCTGTAACCTCAGAGTATTTTTTTTTTTTTTGAGGATTTTAGTTTAAATTTAATTTCACATATCTTAATTATTCAAACCGAATTACTTGTTAAAAAACGCAAGCACAAGGTTAATTTTTTCTCATGTAAATCACATTGACCAACCAAATTTGATTTAATCAATTGAAGTTGTTGACAAAAAAGGACGGTATTTGTTTTAAAGTGATTGTTCGTTAGGTCTATGGGTTAAACGCTTCAATATGCTATGTATGGTCTTCTCAAATACAAAGTGGTTGTTTTCCCCTTCCTAAAATCATGCATCCACTTGACCTTACTCTCTGATGCCATTTTTTGTATTGTTTTCTTTTCTTTTTGGTCTAAAGTATATTGTTTTCTTTCTCAGAGTTTACACTTGGTCATTTTCCTTGTCTTGTTTTTGTTGTATTAATCATGTATCGTTGTTTTGTATTTGAGTGTTGTCTTTTAGTCTTGTTTTAATCAATAATTGGGAATTACGACCTTCTCTTTTGGGATTATATAGCTTTGAATATAAGTATATAACGCATTAACTAATGCTCTGTTGTTAATGCTTTAAACGAACTTGAAATCATAGGAAACCCAACGGTTGGGTATCTCTTCTCTAAATTTTTCTACTTGAATAATAAGAATTCAACTTTATGGCGTTGGATTTATATATTATAAAATTATGATTGGTTAAGAAAGGAAAAGAATACAAGAATAGATGGAGACGGATAAAAGAGCTTAAAACGGTGTTACGTTCTCCAAACAAAATAGTTTACAAACAGGTAGAAGGAGAAATGATGAGAAACGATTTTGTAACAACCCGACCTCTCGGAGTCGATTGTTATTAAATGCAATTTCCGATTCATTTAAACTAGTTAACTTTTCTGCACTTTATGCGAGCTAATATAATTTCCATTTGATTGTTTGAAAATCTAGTAGAAATTTGGATTCATTTGTTTTTTTATTCTTGAGTATATTTGTTTGTTAGATTTCTTTGCATTTTAATCTTGGAAGACGTGATCGTGAAAACATTATTGAATAGAAGAGAGGAAATAAAAACATAGTAGTATCCAAATAATTTAGTTTAAATAGTTTTGAAATTTTTTGATCACTATTCTATGTATTTTAGACATAATTTTTTGAAGTATTGTATGAACTTATTCGATTTTGATCACTGTTTTATGTGTTTTAAACATCACAAATACCGTTATTCCATTAGTTAGATATATATATATATATATTTAACCTTTTTGTTAGAGTTTTTTTTTTAATTTTAATTTTAATTTTTTTTATTTTGAAACAACATTTCATTACTTTTTAAATATATTTTATTTTTGTTTTTTTTATATTTTTGTTAATTGTTTTCTAAATTTTGGAAACATAAGAAATGGTAAATTCTAAGAGATATAGAAATTTTTTTTTAATTTAAACAAAAAAAACGTTTTTGTTTTTTTTTCTTTTAAATTTCAGTTTTATAAAATTTTAGAAAACGTTTAATTTGACAGCAAAATTAAACATCAAACCATTATAATATAGACCGATTTGTTTTAAGTTACTTTTTACACATCAATTAAAAATCAATTAAAAAATAACATGTAATTGCAAAATAGGGTTAAATGGTCTTTTTGCGACCGAAACTCATTTTGGAGCTGACACGTAAGCGAAAGACTGTGAAATTCGCTGTGAGCGCGATACGTAAGCAAATCACTACACAAATAAATATATAGATTAGACCATTTTTTTTAATTAAGCATATTCTTAATCTCTTTTTAACATCCTGCGAGTCCATTAAACCCAACCCAATTAAGTTAACATAAATATAAATACCCTAATCTCTCATTAATCCTTCTAAAACCCTAGTCTCTCTTCCTTCTCTCTTTTTCATCACCATCTCCTTCTAATCCGCCGTCGACTTCCAAGGCAGTTTCCTGGCGATCCGTGAAGAGCCACGCGACGCACAACATATCAAATTGAAGCCCCAGAAGTAAGATTTCAAGTAAAACTGAGCTCGCTCTTATCGGTGGTCGGTGACGAGAGTTATCGTTAGTCGTGCGTCGGGTATTCAGATCTCTTCTCTCTCTCATTCTCTTTCTCTCACCCCTGCTCAGATCTCTTCTCTCTCTCCTTCCAGTCGAAACTTCTTCTTCATTCTGAGATGTCTGCACCTCCATCTCCTCCTCCTTCGAAGTTGGATCCAGCGATGATAGATCTCCGCTTCGCTCTCCATCTCCCATGCCCTCTCTTCCTCCCATCTCGCAGCCTTCTGTGCCAAGGTGAGGACTTCATGATTCACCCTCTCTCTCATTCATGCTCATAATAGTTAGTCTTTTATTAGGCCAAGTACTGGATCTGCTTGTTAGGGTTTTAGATTGCTAGGACCTGGATCCCTGTTGATTGTGTGTTGATGATTGCTGATTGCTGGTGGAATATTAAATGATGAACCTGAATATGGATCTAAGTGTATGGAACCCTAAACATGGATTGGTTATGTTTGATCTGGATCTACTCTGCTTGAGATAGACTAGGTTGTGTGATATAGAACTGCTAGGTCCCTGGCCTTTCTGTTGTGATCTGTCAGTGTTGCTGGCTGAGTTAGTGCCTGTCTGTGTGCATGACCCAACATTAGCTCAACGGTTGGGGGAAGGTACGCCGATCCTTCCTAAATAGTCTACTATACCCAGGCATTTCTGTGTGACCGCTTTTAACCATTTCTGTTGTGATTGGAGTGTCTCTTTTCTGTGGTGATTGGGAGACAGAGTGACCTTACTTATTAAAATCCCTTTCTGTGGTGATTGGGTGACCCTTTTCTGTTGTGATTGGATGGGTGGAGTGACATTGTTAACAAAACGGTGATGTTTCCCTTAATGGGTTAAAGTTTCTCCGCAACTTGGTAGTTGCTTGTAGGGTTACCCTTGTTTGCTAGCTTGAATTATGATTAGTCTATCTGCTATATTCATGTTTGTTAGACGGTGTTGTGGGCCTCCTTAAGGTCCATTCTCGCTGAGTAATCCCAAATTACTCACCTGGGTGTTTTCGAACCTGGCAGACCTGAGGCTCACCAATGGACTGGGGTCCTGACATGCCCGATTCTCCGGTTTCTAGGAAGTTTGGGATAGGGATGTTACAATTGGTATCAGAGCCCAGGCTGATCTCCTAGCTCTGTCCTAAGAGGTCGGGCCCTAGTGTTTTAGAAAGAAAACGTTTGCAAAACAAACATATCCTACTTTTAAAATTAATTTTATTTATATAATGTTTTCAAACCAAGAGCAACAACAACTTTGACGCTGATCTGATATATGTTCTTTTTCTATCCTTTTCGATTCCTTCTTCTTTTATATTTTGGAGCTTAAGGAGTTAGCCACGTATGGGTTGAGTCAGACTAGGAGGGTCTATTCTGCATCATCTTGTCAAATTGCATCATCAAAAAAGATCTGTTTAGAGCTTGTGATAGTGATTTGAAAATAAAATGTTTTCATAGGAGTAGAACTCTATTTTTATTGTTTGAATGATTGCTTTTAAGTTTCTTAGGAGTTGATTATATTCTATGATGGTGTTCTTATAGCATTTATTATTTTCAAAAACAATATGTTCTACTCCTCTTTTAATTTAATGAAGAAATGATTTTGAGTTTTATTTAAAGTGTTACTTCTGCATCACATTTCCTCCTCTAAACCCTCCCATCATTTTATAATTTTAAACCTGAGTTTCCTCCTCTTTTGGCGCCATGGACCCTGCGGATCCATTCCTGAAATCTTTTCTCTCTTTCTGCGACCAAGCTTCCTTTTTTTGTCTTCTGTGCTTTTATTTTTTTTCTTGGTCCTGATTTCAAAATTCCTTTCAGGAACTTTTCCTTTAGGATTCGGCGACGAATCATGTTGAAGGGGGGAAGATTGTACCAACCCGACCTCTTGGAGTCGGTTGTTATTAAATTCAATTTCCGGTTCATTTAATTAGACCATCTTTCTTAATTAAGCTCATTCTTAATCTCTTTTTAACCTCCTGCGAGCCCATTAAACACAGCCTAACTAAGTTAGCCTAAATATAAACCTAAATTTAAATACTCTAATCCTTTATTAATCCTTCTAAAACCCTAATCTCTCTTTTTTTTTCTCTTTTTCGTCACCATCTCCTTCTAATCCGCCGTCGACTTCCAAGGAAGTTTCCCGGCGATCCGTGAAGATCCACGCGACGCACAGCAAACCAAATTGAAACCCCGGAAGT